ACATTAAAGTGAAGAAAGTCGGAAGGGAGGGGGAACAGAAGAGTGTTTCAAAGATGTTAAAGAGACAGACACAAAGATAAAGTGAAAAAGGTGAGATGAGTACTGTGTATGGGGTCGAATATGACATGCAGTGGGGTGATGATAGTTTGAACTCAGAAGTCAACTGCCGGTTTATCGACTTTTCTGCCGCATGAGTCTACGTTGCCCAGGGTGCACCACGTGGAGGTAAGTCTATCACACATCCCGGTTACCTTTATATTGATTGATAGGCTTTTCACTCGACCTCGATCGCTTTGACCCAATTTCAAACGACTCAAGGTCAAATTTTCACTTTATGTGGATATTAAAACGAATTACAAATAGACATCTTGAACTCATATCCAGATTTAAATTACCTTCGAGGCTAGCGATATAACCGTTGAACACATCTGATTGAAAAGTAGTCTTTTTGCACTATCCTATTAAGTCGCAAAATTTCGATCATTACACACCAAAACCATCTCAAGTAGATTCGTTACTGTCAAGTACTAAACTTGAAATGTATCTATAGGCACGTTATTCGATGAATTTTCAAGTTTCGATATATAAAGTGTGATTTTAATTAGGAAAATTCGATTCCCTTCTACTCTTAAGTACGAATATGTCTGTACGATTCGTTTCAGTCCCTCCAGTCAAGCTAACTTTTCCTCTAAATGCCAACTCGCATTCTGTTATCCACTCTTGTACGGTCTTATCAATACTATTTATGAATGATCGATAACAGTACTGAATTTATCAGGTCAGCGGATTTAAGTGATCTCAATGTGTGGTGCATAGTTTATTATGCAAATGGTAAGGCAAATATTTGCAATAACAATTTCATGAAATAGTTAAAATGAACTGTTATTCATCTCACACAGAATACACTAAAAGCCGAGTAGGGTTGAGGCAATAACTGGAGTAAGGTCAACTGATTTATGGTATCTAATTTAATGATATTTGTTTGTCTATCCAGTCCCATAAACTAGTACTTCATTTTGCCTATTGGATCATAGGGCCTTATCCGATTTACCAGTTGGACTGAAGGTTTATGTTGTTTTAATATATAGGGTTACTTGAGGAAAATGAAATTTAAAACCGAATTTCAGTAAAGCTTCTTTTCCGAAAGTTGTCTCGTTGAATTATAAACAGAGTTCTTTTGTTTCGAGGCTAGCCTCAATGAAAATTGAGTACCATATGCGATAGAAGTCTGTTTCATGAACGAAGCCTTGCATTCTTTCATATTCTCTTATGGCTACATTTCAAAAATTGGTTTAAATTCTTCATATAGTTAAGATATCTTACTCACCAAAAGCGATTCAGTCAAGAAGATAGGGCGGTTGTGATATTTCTCAAAAATTTCGAAGCTATCAACTCTAGATATTTATTTCTCTCCCATTAGACATATTAGTAGTCTGTAAATGATCGAAATCAAACCTTTGGTCAATAAATTGCATAACTTTCCAAAACACATTTTCTATTTTCAATATCCTCTTTAACATTAAGTGCATTATTGAAACTGATCTACTCTTACTCTCTAGTGTGACACTGCTTCCACTAACCCCTTAAAAGCTCATCATTTAAAATTTTGGAACAATTTTTGTTCTTTGGCTAAAACGGATAGGCAGTAGTGTTACGCAATAATTATGTCTTCTGAAAGTGCTCTTGTTATTAAACTAAAAGGGTATAATTCAATTCAATGCACTTTACTCACGATTAAATGACATTGTAGTAGCTAATTTTATTGGCATTTTCTCTTGAAATTCGTCTAAATGTCCTGATAGAATTCGGGTTAATGTTCATGCAGCAAAAATCTGGCTTTTTCTCATTTTCACAGACCCACTTGCAAGGCGCAATTCTCCTGCTACTTCGAGAAGGATGCCAAACATAATTGCCTAAGTTATAAAAGTCCAGTTTAGTGGTTTCTTAATTATTAATTATTACCATAAAATATTGTTTGATGCGGATATGGGAGATTTGAAGTTACCCATTTGTCGATCTCCCTTCAATATCAGAAATCGTTGTGAAGCAGCTGCAAATGCGCGTCAGAAAATTTAATTATCCTAATACTAACAATTCCTAGCTTTAACATGTCTCATACCATGAGGCTAACTTTGATCTAACCCCAAGTACTCCCACTTTTATTAATCTTAGTTAAGACTGACAGGTTACAACCTTTACTAATGCTTGAAGAATGAGAGTTAGGACGAAAGGTCATATTTAGGCGATAACAGTGGAAGAAGGAATTTATTTATTTATATCAAATGGCAGGCGTTTTGATAGTTATCACTGGCCCTTTAGCTGACTTCGAACTTCACAGAGAGGAAGGAACATCAAAGTGAAAAAATATCGAGAGGGGNTGTTCAAACTTAGATAGCAGTGACCTGATCAGGAAGTCAGACTCCTGACAAAATTTAAACCAATGAAATTTGAGAGAGGTGTCAATTTCCCTCGCTTATTCTCTCAAAATTCCTACTTTAATTAAATTAGAATGCACCTCCTTAGTGAATTTTTCAGGTGTGAATTTATGAACTAGGGATTAGAGGTGCTTTAAAATTCATTTATTTATATCAAATGGCAGGCATTTTGATAGTTATTATTAGCCCTTTAGTTGACTTCAGGCTTAACAGAGGGGAAGGAACATGGACGTGAATGAGTCCAGATGGGGGGACAGAAGAGTGTTTCAAAGATGTAAAAGAGACAGACACAAAGGTGAGGTGAGTACTGCGAGAAAAGTCGAATATGTCATATAGTGGGGTGATGGTAGTTTGAAGTCAGAAGTCAACAGTCGGTTAATAGACTTTTTTTGTCGTATGAGTATACGTTGCCCAGAATGCACCACGTGGAGGTAAGTCTATCACACACCCCAGGTACTTTAAAATAATATCAAGGAAAATGCCCTCTTAACTCTTATTCTTGATAAAATGGCTTTTCCAGCATCTTAGATAAATTTGCCTTCGGGGTGTGAATTGAGTCAGTGGGAGCAGTTCCTCCTTTTTCGTGATTTCGACATTTCCTGGCCTAGCTAATCGACGCAAAGCGGTATTTGAATGTCATTGAATGAAAGAATGAAGTGAATTAGGTGGTTGAAATCTGGAACGAAATTCCCCACTCCGTCTACCATCATCATCTTGCCTTCCAGTGCTTTTTTGCATCCACTCTCTCAGACCACTTAACCACTAGTTCAACCCAATATATATATATATATATATATATATATATATATATATATATATATATANAAAAGTCTATTAACCGGCAATTGACTTCTGACTTTAAATTACCACCACCTCACTGTATGTCATATTCGACATCTTCCCACAGTACTCACCTCACCTTTTTTCTACCCTGAAACTCTTCTGTTCCTCCCCCCCCCCTCTCGATATTTTTTCACTTTGATGTTCCTTCCTCTCTGTGAAGTTCGAAGTCAGNTCGATATTTTTTCACTTTGATGTTCCTTCCCCTNGGGGGTAACAGAAGAGGGTTTCAAAGATGTAAAAGAGACGGACAGACACGAAGGCAGATAAAAGGTAAGATGAGTACTGTGTATGGGGTCGAATATGACATGCAGTGGGGTGATGGTATTTTGAACTCAGAAGTCAACTGCCGGTTCATAGACTTTTCTGCCGCATGAGTTTGCGTTGCCCAGGGAGCACCACGTGGAAGTAAGTCTATCGCACACCCCGTGGAAGAAGGAATGGAGTGTTGAGTTTCACATCGCAACCCTGGTGTGTGAGTGTCAGGCAGCAAAATTGCGATTGCGAGTCGAATGCTAAGTTATCTAATTAACCTAATTTTAAATTTAATGCAAACATCGTTATAATATGACCCGTTGCGACAATAAGGTCAAAATGCACGAAAATTAATTGCAATTCCAAACAACATAGATAAATAACTGGAAAGAGTTATGAAACAGAATGCCCTATATCTCTTAATTTGTATTGTATTCTCACTACCTCCTTTTGGCCGAAATAGAATACGCAGATTTATAAGTAGACTTGGGTCTATTCTATCTTAAAGAATGGTCATTTTCATTTTGGGCACTTATTAATTTCGGCAATTACATATAATTAAGGAATAAGCAAATAAATTTTCAGCAATAGTTTGATCAAAGTATCAACTTATCGGCCTATATTCAATTTTAGAAGTATTTCGCTGAAATATACCCATTTTCTATTCTAGGTATGTTCTCGGAATCAATGGCCATTCTTCTAGGCGTGGGCGTGTTTGGATCGATAATTGGACCTTATCGGTCTGTTGCAAGTTGTGAGCAAACGTCTGACCGCGTCACTTCATCTCCTCAAAAAGCTTCAAAAGATGCCGAGGTATGTCATTTATGTTTGAGCTTCTTTGCATTGGTATTGGGTTGTGTTGGTAATTTGATAGAATTCCATTAAATCAATGCCTAATTGCTCAAAAGCATTTACTTTAAATATCTCAAATTGCTTGAAATCTCATAATAGAACTTGTTGGTATGAGTTTTGTGTTAGTTCTTGATAATATTTGCCTCTCTCTGAGCGTTCATACTATGTTTCTAATCAAATTACGCCTTTCCGAACTCCTACGTTTATCGTTAATTCATCACTTTCTTGGGCATTTAAATAGCTGGGGATCTTCATATATAGTTGCCTTTAGATTACTCTATGCTTAACCTCCCATGGTAAACGTCATACCGAAACGCAGGATACGCTCGTTACCTCATCCTGATTTTAAATCACAGCAAACTTTACTATTTAGGGGATAATATGAAAATTCTCACGTGACTGTGCCATTTTGTAGGCTTTTTATGCTCATTATATGCGTTGATTCTAGAAATGGTTTATCTACCCAAAGACCAATACTTCAGATTATTTAGAGAAAGCTAAATTAGAAGATAAATGGATGAAATTGCCTCATTTGAAGTCGAACTCATCATTAATGCATTATTCCTCATCTCTAAAATAATTTTCAATACCTTTTTGAATAGTTAAAAGATTTACTACAAAGCAAAGCTTTTCTTTAAGAAGAGTTGAATCACCGCATTTTACCCATTTCGAGAAATAGGATGAGTTTTCAAAACTTTTCCTTTAGTCTGAATTCTGGAATCAGGCGGTTTTTTTCCTATTCTTTACCTGATGGATCGTATTCCAGTATTTCAAAATGCAAGCTTTAAACACTGGTTTCCTGAGTGGTGTTCACAGCACATTGAACACTTGACTTAACTGAGTGTTCCGTCATATCATCCCAATTCCATTTGTTTTCTTTTCAATGCAAGAGTAGAGGAAGAGAACTGAATGTAATAATGTAAAATGGTGATGATTTCAAAAAAAGGTATTAGTTTGATAAAGAGAATGTCTTTTTCCGGTGAGTCACGAAATTGGTTTGAGATCCGTCTACACACTTTTGGTAATTTAGTAGATCGAATAAGAGCTTTCAATCATGCGACCTTTCCTTTTCGATTTGTGTTCGAAGATGTAATGATCTACTGTGTTTTTGTGCCGGTCTGCCAAATCAGAGGTCCTGGATTCGAGGCCTTTTTGCACACACTCAGTTAGTGAAGTAGCCCACCACACCGATGATATTTATCAACCAAAATGTTTGGCAGAATGTGTGTGTGTGTTACACAAATTCCAAAGCTGTTTTTCGTCGCTTCAATTTTGGAGAAGCAGGCTTTTTTTACGATTAGAAAACTAAAACTTATTTAATATTCTAATAAATAAATAAAATAACCTCAGGGAGGTTTTAGTGATGACACTAAAGTAACTTGAAGAGCCCATCTAAGTTTTTCTCAGAGATATCCCCTTATGCGCTTATGAGAGGTTACAACAGTTTTTTTTTCTCCAAATGAGAAGATAAGGAGTTTAGTTGGATCGCGGATTTATTGATGAAATGTACCATAAGTGGGAATGGAGGAGGGGCTGAGGAGGAGATGTTGAATAACTGAATTGGAGGGAAATTGGACAATCATTTTGTTTTTTGAGAGTGGGATTTGGGTTGTGATGACGAGGCCGTATTTATAAAGTTAGCTAATTTTCCATTGAGAAGCGACTAGAGGAATCATCATCTTACAATTGGATCATTTGACGTATTAGAATACTACGCAGAGTGGCACTTAGGAATGGATGATTAAAGAAGTTAGGAGTTCAGTGGATGGAGTTCTCAATGCAAAGTAAGTATGAGTGCATGTTTCATGGAGTAGGTAACATAATTTGTATGGGTTTCGGTGTTTAATTGTTTGAAATGTGTGAGGCTAGCGTGTGGATATGTTTGGCAATAATCATTCATTAAATTAGCAACAATAAATTGTCCTCATCATTAAACAAATTATGATCGAATTATAGATGAGACAGTTAAATTCTCGTCTGATAATGTCACTGTGTTTAGCTAGGAATTACCACTTAATTACAGATAGGTTTGAGGTTATAAGATGAAAAGTGGCTATGACAAAATGGATTGGTTAAGCAAGTAACAAATAATTCCAACACACCGAATATTCCAGAATTCATGATGTGGCAAATAAACTAACCAGGAGTCAAAATGTTCGCCTGTGATGTGATGGTTAATGTGCTCATCTACCCACTTCCAGTGAGCACATTGGCCAAAAACACTTGTTTATCCAGGCTAGTAAAGGGGGTGGCACAATTCGAATTACATCTAAGTAAACTCCAAGACATGTGGTGTGAGTACTCCAAGACGTTTTCCCTAAATGGACTTTGAATTATTGTAGCAGTAAAGTATTACAGTTCGACGAATGTAATGAATTTCACAAGCCCCGCTTCTACATACTTCAGGTCGTGTAAAGTATCACCACCACCACCACCCCAGCTGTGCCTATTGATGAGATATTTCGAAGAGATTCAAGTTAGGCAATTACTTAAGAATGTTGATTGTTAATAAGGACATTTACATATTTGGTCTCGAAAATGTATAACTAATTTGTGTTACAATCCCTCATTTATTAATGTACAGCTAATACACTTGTCTATCTGCTAACCTGATGGATACTAAACTTGTTATAAATTTGGAGTGAATTAACATACTTTTATATTGACACTTTGCTTCATTGAACAGAGAAGTGAATTCTAAAAATCAACTCCAGGGGTGTTCTACTTCTCGAACTTAATTAAGCTTAGCTAGTAGTATTAAATTCAACGACAAAGCAAAACCTTTCGCAGGTCACTAGTCGCCAAAATAAGAGAATTTTAAGCTTTCCGTTTTATTGCTATCAGGTTTACCTCATCGTGTCGCCATCTCCATAGAGATTGTGCTTTTGTTGAATTCTAAAATTTTGTCAATAATAATGAATCGTTCTCATATATTGCTTATATTTTGAAAGCGGTCGATAATATTAAGAGTTTACATAAATACATTCACTTTAATCATCCATTTTAAAAGTCTATAAACCGGCAGTTGACTTCTGACTTCTAACTACCATGACTCCACTGTAGGTCATATTCGGTCATTTTCATTGTACTCACCTCACCCTTTTCTCTTCCTTTGTGTCTGTCTATTTTAAATCTGTGAATCACACTTCTGTTACCCATCGAGTTTTTGTTACTTTGATGTTCCCCCCCCCCCTCTGTGAAGCCTGAAGTCAACTAACGGACTAATGATGACTGCCAAAACGCCTGCCATTTGAAATATTGTATAAATGTATTGTATGTTTCACCTGTTTAGATCATGGCATACAAGATTGCAGCTGCAGTGACATGTATACTCGGTACATTCTGCTCTACCATCTGTTTCTTTGGTACCAAGGAGATTAACACTTCTGTCAATGGTGGAGAGGAGGACAAAGAGGACCGATCCTTGAAGGGTTTCTTCAAGGCCGCACGCAAAATTTTCACTTTTAGGCCCTATCTCCTCCACATGGGTTTCTTCATGTTTTTCTCATTGGCTGTACAGGTTCGTTTCGTTACAAATAATGTGGTTAAAGTAAAAAATAAAGTAAAATAAAATAAAGTAAATGAAAAGAAGAAAAAGAGTTAGCGAAATTCCCTACACTACTTGATTTTACCTAGTGGTTTGTTTCTATTCTTTCTAATAATAATTGTAGATCAATTAATGTTTTCCTTAATTAAATGTAATAATGTAATATTGACATGAATAACAAATTTACTTAATAAATGTACTTCTGCTCCACATTACTGATATACTGCTTTAGTTATACGATGCATAAAATTTTTGATTGCGATGTTAATACCATCATGTGATTAAGTTTAGGGTCTACATACATCACTGAATCATTCTCACGTAGAAGTGGATATATACCGATGTCTTTATTGTTTCGCATTGTGTAGATAAGGTAGATGAATAAGAATGGGCATGGACAGTGACTGATGACTACATACTGTGCTCAAGTCAAGGACCATAAAGAACTCGCATTTGAATTTTCGAACGGGTTCACTCCTTGTGCAGGTGTGTGCTTGCCTAATAAACACTTGATAGTTCGAATATGAACCTCCAGATATATTTGAAGTGTAATTGTTCCAACCAGAAATCTATTTCTTGTTGCTTTCTGATAAGAGGTGGTTTTTTTGCTGTTTATAAATTAACTTCTATTTCTTCTCTTCCCTAGTTCTGTCAAAACAATCTGGCACTTTATGTGACATACTCTCTCAAGTTGACCAGTTACCTCAATTATGGTATTATGAGCCTTCTGCTTGCTACAATTCTCCTAATTCCAGTTGCTCAAATTGTGCTGAAAAAAATAGGCAAGAAATGGACATCTGCAATTGCTATTTTCGTGAGTTTATGTCGCTTAGCGAATTATTTTTATTTTAACGGGGTGACTGATACAGTTATATAAATAAAAATAGAGTTAACGTCTTACAATATGTCTTATGTTTGAAAGCCTTTGTTGACTGTTACCACCTGCATTATAGTCCTGACCTATTTTTTGTTAGCGTCAATATGTCAATAAGTGAACCAAGATGAACCTAGGTGGAATTGTTGGTATAGTTGTTTAGAATTGTTCACAAATTAAATACGTTTTCTTCTACCTTTGCAGAATACCTTTCCGCTTTTGGCTGCGCTTTACTTTTTACCAGAACGACTTCATTTGGCTGTCTTCTTCTTTATGATGATCTGGTTCTCTCTTACTCTCTCAGTTGGAATGCTTCTACCATGGTAATTCATAGTCCTAATAACAGCGGCGATATATATATATATATATATATATATATATACTTACCGAATATAGAGTAGAAAGAAAATTAACCCCGAGATTTCTCGTTGCCTTTTTCTGTAGGTCAATGCTTCCTGATGTAATTGATGCGTTCGAATTGGAAAATGGCCATCGTTCGGAGTCAGTTTTCTACTCTGTCATTGTATTTTGCAACAAATTAGCTGTGGGTGTCACTGTGGCAATTTCGGCGGGCGTTTTGGAGTGAGTTTAAATGGAGAGCTTTGGATGATAATGACTACTTTTATACAATTGAATTGAGTTAATGGTAATTTGCTAATTGTTTGGGAAACTTCCTAGTTTGCAAAAGTGGGCAAAATTGCAAGGTCTTTGCCTTGCCTAATTTTGAGTGTTATTATTGAGTTCCGAGATTTGTGGAAATTTGGAGACAATTTTATCCCCTTTCTTCTACCATTTAGATTATTCGGCTATGATTCTATGGTGCAGTGCCATCAGCCTCCAACGGTAGGATATGCTCTCCGATTTATTATAAGTTTTGTGCCAATGATACTTCTGGCCCCTTCACTTTTCTGTCTCTATTACTATCCTCTGAATACTACCACGATTAATGCAATACGTGCCAAAAGATTGGAGTAAGTTTTGCCACTGTTACAATTGGCACGCATTTATTTATATATTTCATTATTGATGAAATTGGTTGGTGCATATGAGTTTGAATGGATGAAACTGAGAGGTAGTGACTTGGGAAGAGGGAGGGAGGGAGAGGGGGGAGGGGAGGAATTTATTTCATGTTAATTGGAATTACCACCACCTCCTCCTCCTCCTCTCGTCTTAGTTGCAAAGGATGTTTGCTGGTGGTATTAAGTAGGATTTTTGAAGTAAGGTTTTTCGAACTGAGCCTGTTGTCAATATCTGAGGTGGCATTCCGATAAGTGGTGTTCCAACCACCACCAAGGGTTAGAATGAAGGCAGTGTAGCTGAAGGGTCTTGGTTCATTTGAAATTGGGATTCATCAGCTATAGCCAAATACGTCATGTTCTAAGTTCAAAAAAAGGTGAATATCAAAAGTTGTTTCCCAGGAACCTGAGTCGGATGGTTATCTCGATACCGGGGCCATATTGAACAGGCGTTTTGATCAAGTGGTTGGTTATGGATATGGTTGGTTTCGGCTTAAAGTAGCTGGTTGGCAATAGAGAACTATGTGGGATTTTCAGCCAAGATAAACCATGCTTCTCAGTTCGTGGACCATTTATTTTGCTCCGTTTTTTCTTACCATTTCAAGTCAATTCTCGTCTTCTTGTAGGCAAGTTGGATCTCATTCGGAGGATGTATCTCTTTCAAATTCCGTGAAGGACTATTACTAAATCTTCGTGTCTTTCTTTTAACTTCTTTCTACGCTCAGACTTTATCTTACAAAAACGTCTTTCCTCATTATTATTGCTCAGTGTGATGTTTTAGAATGCAAAGTTGTTTATATACATAAAGTATGCGTGCTTTCTATTGCTAACTGAAAATATTTCAGAGTCACTAAGTGGTACTCGAGACGGTAGATAGATTGTTCTTTAGTCTTGGAAAGCGAGATGTAAAGGAGGGATTTCCAGAGTGTTTAATTGTCCCTGTGTAGAACAATGACAACGGTTTTTCAACTAAGGAGGGAAGTCTGCCTTCGCAGAGTTGAAAATTGATCACCTATTCGTTCAATAATAGCAGTCGAATTAGCCTCAGTGTTGGTTTCAGATATCCATGAATGTGGAAATATAAAGGTCGAAAGCGCAATTAATGAAGATTGGACCCATTGCCTCATTTAAGTGCTCGAAGAATAATTGAGCAGACCCAACGAAATGCCCCTTTAATTGATTTTGGAGTCCCTGAACCGATTAGCATCCACCTTCAGCACGGGACATGAAAGGAGGAAGGGGGATGAGAGGGAGAATTGTGTCAAATGGGCTTTTTCGAGAGGGAGCTGAACTAATATTAAAATTAATGCATAAGAACTAAGGCCAAAATCGATCCAACTGTGCCATAAGTAGAACTAAAATAGCCCATTCCTGAAACAACTGTGGCCATATAACGATAACGTATCGTAACAACTTACGTTCAACGTAAACTCCCCACTCAAATGAGTTGATTGCTGGTTTCGCTAAAATTAGTTTTATTCCAAACTTTTAAACAAAATGCCTAGTAAGAACGAATGATAAAAAATGGGAAATTACGAGTAGTTAGCGTAAAGTGAGTTGTCAAAAATTTAATCATTTATTTGCCTTGTATTTTTTCGATTTGTAAAAATAAGATGTTTAGGTTGAATTTTATTTTTGACTGGAATATTTATTTTTCATCAAACTGCTTTGTTTTGAATTTAGTTCAGCGTTAATCACTTGGAAATAACAAATAATTTCACAAACTGAAAGTCAAGCACATAGACAAAGCTTAATTCGTAAACGAAACCATTATTTTTAACTTTTTATTTCTTAATACGAACCAGTACTCTCGGCCACTGCAGAATTACATACTCTGATAGTTGCTTGAATATTGTTGTAAGAACTTATTAACAACGAATCAAATGTAAAACTATTATTAAAGCTCTTTGAATGCGCAAAAAACCTACACACATGGCAATTCAAATATTTACACATTCAAAATTCAAGGGGAAGATGTAAAATACATAAGCGTAGACCAACATCTTGTTACTAGAGAGCAAAGTTCACATTTATGGCAATAAAATAGGATAAAGAGCAAATATGTGAATATTTATGTTTTATTGCTTGAAATTCAGGTAACCTGGGCAGAAATCGAGATCGCAAAATGAATCTCATATTAAAAAATCGTTTTAGAATACCTGGATGTAACGTACATCAACATTCGTTAATACACATTCAATCTCAGAAAAATTATTTTGGTTGTCTGATATGCTCGACAATATGAGTAAAATGTTTAAATAACTGAAGAAGCCAAAAAGATTAAGTTTTGTGTCAAAATAAATGGAAATAGAGCACATATATAATAAATCAAAAGCCTATTGAATAAATGAAAGAAGAATGAAAAATAATTTGAAATAATATATTTAGATTTTGATAAAATAGATTGTATATAATAAATGATAAATTAAACAGAATTTAATCTTATCAAAAATACTTAAAATATATTACATTTATTCAATTTATTAAATTTACCCTCAGAATTGTTTATATTTATGAATTTATAAAAATATTTACGCGAGGGATTTCGACCCTAGGATTCTCATTGCAAATAGGTACAGTAAATTAATTGGCACCAATCGAGCGTATGACTGCTAAATCAAAGAAAGATAAAAGTAGTGACAGTGAAAAGACTCCTGAAAGTGTATTTGAAGAAACGGAGTGTAGTGGGCGTCTTTCTATATGGCGCAGGTTTGCTTTCGGTATTGGTGGTATTACTATGCAATTAATGCAAAATATTAATGGATATTTTCTGGCCCTTTTTCTTCTTGAAACTGCGGAACTGAAACCAACCTACCTATCTGGTATCCTTCTTGCTTCTCGAATTGTTGATGCTCTTACTGATCCAATAACGGGTTTTTTAGTAACAAACACGAAATCGAGGTTTGGTCAAAAGCGACCATGGTAACTAGTTTTATAGACTTTCTTGAAACTGATCATGCAATACATTTTACCACTGCATTTTCAACGCAGGCTATTGTATTCCATTCCATCATGGGTTATCACTTTTTTCTTCCTATACTATGCTGTGGACTGGCCACCTGAAGGAAAATTGGCTTTTTACCTTATCATAAACTTAATTTTTCAAATTGGCCTAACAGTAAGTGTTTGTGTGTTTTTTGTTGCTTTTTTGTTTGGCCTCAATCAATCATCCCAAATTTACCTTTAGGCGTTTCAAGTTCCCTACAGTTCAATGACAATGGTGCTTACACCTAATCCCAAAGAAAGAGATGTTTTAACAGCTTGTCGTAAGTTAACAATTGCTTGTTTGCACTAAGATGAGATTCTTGTACTCAAGCGAGCGAAGAATGAACCAAGCCCTTTAGTGAAATGTCAATCGCCATTTTCAGCAGTATGCCGATTTTTTACTCGAGAAATTGTTGAAAGGTAGTAACTGTAATATTTGATTGTCAATGGATGAAGGCTAGAGCCAATGGCAACGGAGTACTCAGATCAGAAGTAAGGGAGGACAAAGAATGCAAACAGAGTTGCCAGACATAAATACGTTAGGAACGTGGGTGCTGGTTTGTTGTTGTTATTGTAGCAGTGGAGAAGCTGACTTGTCACCCGTTAGAGAGATGTAGCAGTGGAACTGATAATTGTGAGAGACATTAAAAGTAGGTTAACGACTTAGTGGGAATCTATATTTTGTTTAAGATAGCTAAGGCGTTAGATGTGAGGACAATTTTGATCTGGTGATGATTAAGATCTCCTTAGGAGCCTACTAGCATAACGATGTCTACTCAGTGATATTGAAGTAAGTCAATTGACAATCGAGTGAGAGATGATTTGCAGAAATGTTCTACTTAATCGAGAAGCTGTCTGAAAATAGATTGTTACAATTTGGATATTGTAATTCATGCCGAAGTCATACGAATTAAACAAGAGTATTAGTTGTAGGTTTCTAATGTGTAAGAGGTACGTTGGTTCTTACCATACGACGAAGTTATGCTCACCTTTTTGGGCACTAATTTTGTGTCATCATATTTGATTAGTTTATTTTCAGTTTTGAGAGAGCTCTATTTATTTGGATTTATGACATAAAAAACGTATCTCGCTATTAATCTAATAATTAAAGCATGTTTATCATACAATATATATTCTATAAATCCACTTTTATTTATTTTATTAAGAATGATATAGTAAAAACAATATTTAATAGTATTGCTAGAGTGCCAATCAACATAAATTCATCAATTTTTGACAATTTACATCCATATTTATGCTTTTATACCATCTGCTGCAATTTCATTTACGAAAAACAGTTCCTCTTTGAATCAATCTTGAGTTGAAAACAAAATAAGAGTCATTCTTTAGTAAACGGGTAGTTCTATTTAGAATTAGACATCCCAGCCTTAACCAACCCAATAAATTGGTTGTAAAAGCAAACACCAAGTAATATTTCTCCAATTATTTTGAAGATTAAATGGACATCTTCCAAACGTTTACAATCCCTTTGTGTCCACCAATAAGAGGTAGGATTCAAAAGAGGCTTTTCAATTTAGATGGATTCATTCCAAATTAGACATGAAGACAAATGAGACAGCCATTCTGAATGTGATAAATTGCTAACAATTAGTAATTGCTAGTAATAATAATGCCTACCTCTGTTATGACCAAGTTTCAAGTAAGTTCATTTTAATGAATAAATGACAAATAGGGAAGTTGAATAGATTAGTAAATAATGAGGAGTTATGGGAACGAATTCCTTTAATACTCTACCTTTAACGACCAAATCGCTACATGTGAAGGATATTTGTCAAAACACTGCCGAATTGTCAGAGTATCAAGAGCTAAGTGCGTCCACATACTACTAATCCATTCTTATGTGTGGGATCAATCATTTCTGTGTCCTTACAGAGGCATAGTTCTTTACTTGTATTTTTTTATATGAATTTAATATGGTACGAAAATCTGTTTCAAAATTTAAATTAAATGGAAATGGTCTACTTAAAAGGATGTAGTGAATACTACTTAAGGAAGACTATTTTGAATATTATCAATTCTTACTTCCACAAACTGCTGATATAAATTTACTCTCAAATGATCTAAACTATGTCAAAGACAGAAGACAGTATATATGAAGTTAATAAGATTTATTAGAAAATTTTAGAAGTGGTGAAAACTAAGGCATCAACTTAAATTAGTGCAATATTACGTGCAAGACAATCTATAGCACCAAACGCTTCCATATTGTTCTGGCGCGCATGAATTCCCGTTGATAAACGTTGAGGCAGCCAAAAGGCAGTAAAATACATGATGGTTAGGGTACATATTTGGAGAGTATAGAAGAGTCGGGATTTGCAATTTGGATGGATGATAGTGTTGGTAGAGAAGACAAAAGGACTGGAAGGATGTACGTTATCTAAGGAGGTGAGTTGAGCAGGAGTGTTGGAGAGTTCCACATTAATCGTGGCCAAAGTGCATCAAACGAAGAGGTATGTTGCGCACAGTCAACGGATAGAGAATCAGTAGAAAGATGTATGGTTTATGAGCAGTAAGAATTCGAAGTAGTTAGCGAATGCTGGTTTGGCTGATTTCAGTCTTGAAATTGGTACGTATTCGAAATTTCTTTTCTCGGTGTCTTCCCAAGATGGAATTCGACTTACCGTTAACTGAAAGTAGGTTCCGAGTTATGAGCTTCGATGAAACATATTCTGTTGATTCTCTGCTGTAGGTTTAGGGATAAGGTATCTTGTAAAAGGCAGGTTCGTGTTCTTACAAAAAGGTGAAACTATCTCTACGGTCAGGTTCAGAATCATCATCGAAACCCCTAGGTCCTTTGGAAATTTTGCGGATATGATATTTAATTAGTTTGGTTTCGGTAAGGCACAAGTGATTCTGACATATCTCAGTTTTTGGGTTTGATGGTCGAAAGGTAGAGAAATCTATGAAGGTTGTTGGTCTCTTTTCTCGTCACTTGTAGTGCCAGATCGGTGAGTTGAATGAGGCAGAAATCAGCTCTTTTGTTTATGTCATAATAAATGCCTTATGTTACCTTGTTGACGATGTCAATGACTTGAGCGTGACATAAGTTGGTAGAGGAGAAAAAAGAATTTGGAACATCGTTTGAGGTTTGGTAATGCCTCAAAGTTGGGTGCCGTTCCAGCCGAAGAAGGCAGACATGAAGGTTTCTTTCGGAAAATAGAATAAATGTGAGAAGGAGCAATTGCATTCTCGAAAATATCTACATCTGCGTACATTTTGTGGCTATTGAAGGGTGCAAAAAAGTGTGACTTGGGACGAGAATAAGAGAACAGGAGGAAGCTGTCAGGGTTGGAGAATCACCAAATGAGTTAGTGAAAAAAACCACAGTGCTATTAAGAGAAGGTTTACGTCAGTCTGAACAATTTTCATCAAGGTCCTCAATTATGTAGTGGATATTACGCAAATGGGACTTGATTGACGCCTTAATCGTCTATGAAAAAAAAACAGTTTTTACTTGATAATTTCATTAAATTCAGGTGAAATTTAAGTTCGAAACTAAAGTTAAGCTACTATCTTATCATGTATTGGTTAAAGCAATGCACCTTTTTATAATGGAGTGCATTGTTTTTATAGTTCCCAATAGACGGTTCCGAAACGTCTATCCTAATTTGAATGCACATTTAAGTGCTCTGCTTCCACTTAAAATAAAATTTTATCAGAGTGCCTTAATCTACATTTAGTCGATTGATATCTATTAAACTGCAATGATTTTGCGTTTACGTTTTGTTTAATAATAGTCTTAATGTTCGCAAGTAGGAAGATTTGAATTTCCTACTACAATATTTCAGTATATTTACTTATATCTAATTAAGTAGTAACTATTTTATGATTTAGGTATGTTTGCTGAGGAAATGGCCTATCTTATCGGTGTGGGTGTCTTTGGATCAATTATCACACCCTACCGGACCGCAGTGAAATGTGAGGCATTAAGTGCCAATGGAACAGTTGGACTGACTACTGCGGCTCCAATTTCCAAAGATCCAGAGGTATGGCGTCATTTCCAACTTTAGTACTAAGTTTTTCTAGAGTGTACATAAAAACACAATCGAATTATTATTCTGCCAATAATATTAATTCTTCCATGACAGTGGATTCTTATTAGCTGAGATTATGTGCTTATTAACAACTCTGTGGAGAGTTCCATTCCCGAGACATCGCAATAAAAATGGTCATTTGTAGGTTTCTGACAATTCTTTATTGTCATTTCCCTTTTGCAATTTATCTCACTATTCGACATTTCGAGAATATAGTGGAAATCGTGTTGAGATTTTTGAGTAAAATAGGCGCTATGCTGCGCGATATTGATCCCCGATCGGTTTAGGAGACCTCTGGATGCCCTATTCACGATTCGTAACATAATGTTTTAGCTCACGCGCGGGAACTTTTGCCAACCTTAATAGAGTTTGCACATTTATCGCTTCAAAGAACTACTATGTATTTGTTTCGATTTAAGTAACACTTTTTTTCAAAAAATAAGAAATTATCTTGTTTATTAAGTTTCATGTTTTGGGGAAAAGATGTCGGCGAGAACATAGTTTTGCCATTTATTCAGCAGACATGATTTCAAATAGAAATAGTTCATCTTTCCAAATTAAGCACATCAAAGAAGGAAAAGCTTCATAAGAGTTTACTATGATGATAATCTTGCACAAGATTAATATTAAATCTATTAATATAGATACATGCTATAGTCCATTTAACGAATTTCATTTTTATCCATGTACTATTTACCATCGACAAACATAACTTTCATGTTTTGAGTAAATTAACTGAATTTACCAATTATGCCAGCCGCAATTACAATCATTTTTACAAAGAAAGGTAGTTGGCTATAATTTCTTCCACTAGGCGTATTTTAGGAGAGTTAACGTTATGTGGCACAGGGGAAAAAAACCATATTGTCTTTATTTGGAAAGATTCGACCTGAATTTGTTTTCTTGTAGAGATTTGTTCCAAGATGTATTCATAATAAGAGGGTGACTGCAAAGTAATATGACCCAAAGTCATCCAAAATTTCCTGCTGTTAAGAAGCAGATGAATAAATAGAACAAAGAGTAAGTGTAGACAACACGACTATTTATGAGACCTAAAGCTCAAAAAGGACCATTTTTAAGGCTGAAATATCTCAAATAATGTTTCCTTCTTGAGAAACGTGAATTATATTAGATTTAAAGCATCTATTGTGAGGCTCAGCTTCATAAAATAATCCCTTATTGTATTTTGATTGGTCATTATTTCCAAGGTTATTGCGAGAACTCCATTTCGACATATTCAGTGCATATGGACTAAAAGACTCTTTCATGAAAAGACATGAGAAGGATTACGGCCGACATGTGTGCTTTACTTTTAATCTAAAGGCGGTGGTAGTTTTCAGTTAAAGTGCAGAGAATTAAAAATAAGGAAGAAAAATCTAATCAATTAAAGAAACTTCTAGCGAAACCCATCTCATGGAGAAAATGGATCCCGATTGATTTCTTTCCATTCTACCAATCTCTTCGTTCAATAGAGTTAATCTTTACATTTGAATATTCACACCACTGAATGTGCACGGATGATCATCGATTTCGTGATCTCTAAATGATCAGACGAACCTATTGATTGCAATTAAATTCGCCTGTTAATATAAATATTGTGGAGTGATAGAAAAAAATGATGATCAATAAAAAGAAAACCCTCATCAAATAAATAATAATGCCTATGTGCATAATTTCCTATTTCAGATCTGGGCATACAAAATTGCGGCTGCAGTCATTTGTGCTATTGGAACGATTTCGGCTTTAATCTGTTTCTTTGGAACTAAGGAGATTAATACCATGCTTTATGAGGGTGAGGAAGAAAGGGAGGACAAGTCATTGAAGGGCTTTTTCAAAGCATCTCGAAGCATTTTTACCTACAAACCTTACCTCCTTCATATGGGTTTCTACCTCTTCTTATCCTTGGGAATGCAGGTTTGCTGAATAATTTCCCATGTAGTTAGCTTTTATAAAAGAATAAGAATAGAGCAAAATAAAGGCGAATAATTCATTCAAGTTGAAGCAAAAATAGTGCGATAGATTCTAATCAACTTCACTATTGACTATTACTTTTGCATGTACAAAATCGTATTTACCCTTTATCCTCGCATATTAAAACGTTCGTATCAGCTCTCTTTTTATCACTAACATATGGGAGCATTTTTCAGTCAATTGGGTGGGAAAAGATTTCCACAAGTAAATATATGTTTTTTGCAAGGGCATTCTAGATGGTTTCGTAATGATTTTTCATTCCTTCATTCAATTAATACTAATTGAAATGGAGTTATTTGAATATAGATGCAACATGTCGTAATGACCACTGAGCAGACTATTTCAAATTAGGAAAAAATGGAAACATAGAGGGGGACATTAAGTTCTTATTACAGCTGAACTTGACTTTACGTTTCATAATAAATCATCAAAGCTTGAGAAACACCAAAGTAATTCAAAAGCTGTTGAATGAATGTGAGTACCATCTGAAATGTGTAAAATAATATATACAGTGAAAGTAAAATGGATTTAGTAGGATATTTACAATGTATTTGCTCAGATATTCTCAAATATCACAAATTTTAAATTTCTGAATCACTTTAAAGTTTGCAATATGAAGATGTTCATAGTTTTGTCTTTCTTTTCCAGCGACCAAAATAGTTAGTTAAAATTAGCCAAAATGCTTTTTGCTGCATAACGATGTTAACCAATTAAATTCTAACAACATAATTATCACAAAGAAATACTTACATATTCTCTTCATTTTACAGTTCACTCAAACAAATTTCGGACTTTACGTAGCCTACTCAATTAAACTCTCCAAATATCTCACCTATGGCATTCTATGCCTTCTTGGAGCTGCAGTGCTTTATATTCCACTTGGACAGTTTATTCAGAAGAAAATTGGAAAGAAGATTACAATGTGCATTGCTCTTTGTGTAAGTCTTGATTTTGTCAACAGAAAACACGACAGATAGCCTAAGCCTGTTGTCTGAAGGTCATTGTTTAAACATGAAATTGCATTTTAGCATCTATCAAGAGAGTTATTTACAATTTTGTTTTTTACAGATCTGTTATTCACAAAAGATCAATATTAAAATTTTTCATATTTTCAGAATTCGTTTATTGCTCCATTTGCACTTTTCTTCCTCCCAGAAAGGCCTCATGTTGGTATATTTTACCTCTTAATGATCATACATGCTTTTACTCTCTCCGTTGGGCTCCTTCTTCCATGGTATTTTTCGCACTTATTTTTAATCACATTTAGGTAGTTATAAATGTTCGAGTTATCCTATTCTCTTTGCAGGTCAATGCTCCCAGATGTCATTGATGCATATGAGCTGGAGTTTGGTGAACGCCCGGAATCAGTTTTCTACTCTCTTATTGTATTTTGTAATAAATTGGCTGTCGGTGTGTCCTTGGCAATTTCAGCTGCATTTTTGGAGTGAGTTTAAGCTAATGATATTCAGTCGTTTTGTTTAAAGTTGTGAACTGAAATTTGAAAGTTATCCTTTTGCCTATTTTAGATACTTTGGTTATAAATCTTCCAACAGATGTGGTCAATCACCCATAGTAGCCCAAGCTCTCCGTGTGCTAGTATCCCTTATTCCAATGGCACTTTTTATTCCATCACTTCTACTACTTTACTATTACCCACTTGGAACACGTGAGCTTGCAGTGCTACAGGAGAAGAGACGAGAGTAAATGCTTTATTATAATTGTGAAATTTACATCTTTACATATGGGTAGCATCTATTACATAAAAGAACACATTATAGGAATACCTAAATTCGAATAGTACTATAAAGAATTCAGTAAAAGACTTAGCACGCCCTCTAACATGCTATACAATTCAACTTTCATTAGCGGCTATAACTATTTTATGGCTTTATTAGTTACAATTTTAGAACAGAGGGAAGTTCATATGTAACGTTTGTTTTACTATTCTTTTCTGTTTTTTCCAGAAGAAATTAAATACAGCGCTATTTTCTTACTTTTTTAACAGGCAAGCCAGACCACCATCTACAGATTCATATCATTCAAACTCGGAAAACAAAATTGATGATGAAAACAATAATGACAATTCATCGCTTTAATTCCATCAATCTTATTTTTATTTGAGGTGCTTTCTTCACATTTTCAACGTTTATAAAAAATTACTAATTTCTATCATTAAAGTATAATATAAAGTCACATTGAAGCCACATCGAAGATTTTCTAATACCATTTGATGCAATCAATATCGCATCAAATGAAAGCAATTTTGTAAATATTATGTTGCACATTACAAACCGAAGCTCTAATGAGAAAGGAAGAAGGGGACTTTTTGTTTGCATGGGATTTATTCATCAAGGAGACAAATATATTTCATATATTTGCTAAGAACTGCTAATCTTCATTGAGAGCCGAGATTTATATTTCTTAAGCAATCCCACGAAATTTCAATTCAAAGTGGAAACAGTAAATAGAAAAAAATGCAATAATTTTGTAATGTCAAGTTGATTCATACTCTGGGTATTTTATGTAAGGCATTTAAGTAATGTATTCTCAATAGAAGAGAAATAATGAGGACGGGAATTAAAGTAGGAGAAAACAGGGCCTTAGTAGGAGTGATTTTACTTACGAAAAGTGCTATTTTTCGAAAAGAGCTTGAATATGTG